ATGCCTCGCCGATGCCTTGCCGATGCATCGCCGACATCGGTGATGCATCGACGAGTCGGCGCGATCCTCCGACCCATCTACTCCGACCCATCGGGAAGTCCTTTACGGTTCAAATGCAAAGTAAGGGTGCGCTGCTTCATCAAGGCTACCCTTGCATCCCTGCTTCTTCGGCCCATCCTGAGCCAATGTTGGCACCTAGGGAGCTCTGAGTTGGCAATTGGACTTCCAAGTGTCTTACATCCTCACCGTGCATCTTTGCTAGGGACACTCTTGGCGCGCAAGCAAATGAACTCGAGACCGTTTTCTGATTCGTTGTTTTGCCGATCGGCGCGGACCCTCGCACCCCCCTTCCCCCCCGATGGGGCAGATCTTGGCTATTTTGCGCGCTTTCCAAGCAGGTGGGCGCCTCCCCAGAGCATTCCCCATGGGAGCACTGCACCAAACAGCCGCTCAACGCCGAGGTCCGGAGCCAAGCCCCCCTCCCCCCTTCCGCTCCACGTCTCAAGGCAGGAAGAACCACTCGGACCGGACAACTGGCGTTTACTGAACAGCCCTGGGCGTTTACTTAACAGCCCGGCCCTGTTCGCTTCCTTGTTTGGGCGCGTTTACTAAAGGGCTCGCGTGTCAGGGTGGTTCTTCTCGGGGTGGACTTTCTGCCCTCTCATGTCGGAGGTGGATAGACCTCCTACCCTGACACGACGATTCAGGAATTGGTCGTTTTCGGCTCGCGAGAGGGCGTCGCGGCCGTCATTCTTGCGGGTCCAGGTCCGTCGGTTTCGGTCCCAGGCCGTTTTGCGGGCAATGTCTTTATCCACATCCAGTGCGTCTTGGAGTTTCGGACACTCTTCCCAAGAAACATGAGGCGCACTGGATATGGATTATAATCTGCCTCCAAAAAGGCTCAATTTTATCCATATCCAGTGCGCCTCGGCCTTGCGGCGCCCCTTCCAAGAAAGTCCAAGACGCACTGGATATGGATATAAATATTGCCCGCAGCTTTCACTAAGGCGAGGTTTACGAAAGGGAGGTTTGCCCACCGCCGATAATGTCGAAACACCGAGGCAGAGGCCGCGCGCGGGCTCACGGCCAGAGGCCGCGCGCCGGCCGCGTGCGGACGTCGGGGGCGGTGCAGCGGACCCCTAGCAACCAAGCAGTGACGAAGCGTCCTGGCTCGCCCATAGTCAGAGCCCCGAATCATCAGGGGTAACTCGGGTCAGGGCTAACTCGGGTTCCTTTTTCGGGAATCCAAACACGAGTTACCCCGGACCCGAGTTACCCCGGGTAATTCGGGCGTCCAGAGCCCCGAATCATCAGGGGTAACTCGGGTCAGGGCTAACTCGGGTTCCTTTTTCGGGAATACAAACCCGAGTTACCCCGGACCCGAGTTACCCCGGATAACTCGGGCGCCCAATGTAGCCCCACCATGCCATGCTCGAAGAACCGCTTTTGTGGCTTCCACGACATGTTCTTAGAACATGTCCGGTTGATCTTGTTTTGTCTCATCGCCTCGGGAGTCTGTTCTGAGAGCCTTGCTTTTGTTGTTGGGACCTTCTTGGGCTCCAAGAGCATGTCGTGGTAGGACTACAGGAATGCCGGGACGGTCGGTCCCTGCTCCAAGCAAGCCCCTCGCCTCGCCCCAAGACGAAGTCATGTATGCGGCCGGAGGGGAGCTCGAAGGGCGAGGGCGACGTCACGGAAGGGGATGGCCTGCCAGGGGTCGGTTCCGCCGCGCCCGAGGAAGAGGTCCCTCGCTGTTCGGCAGATCGGCGGCTCAGAGGTTCTCGGCCTCCCAGATGGGGTCGGGTCAACGATCGGACCGAGGCATCAGATCGTGGTCGGCTCGGGGAGGGCACCCTGGTGGTCTTTAGGTGTTCTCGTGCAACCTTGTGGTGAGTACCCTCGGCTGTTCTGTGCTTTGGCCGGCGAAGGGTCCCATGCTCTTGAAGGATGTTCTTCGGCCATGGGTCTGGCTGTAGACGAGGTCGGAGGGTCGCGCCGCGCCGCATCGCCGATGCATCGGCGATGCTGCTCTGTGTGGAGCCCGATGCTCCCCACGCGGACCTCGCCGCTGCATTGCCGATGCGACGCCGATGCATCGACGATGCATCGCGGAGGCATCGGCGATGCGGCGAGGTCTTCCGACCCCATCTTTTCCGACGGCCCCCTGAGGAATGGGGCCCGAAGCACGAGTGGCCTCCCAATATGAAGGTTCAGCTTGGGGTAGTCTTCCTATCCTCGAGGCCTCCTATCCCTGAAGACCCAATCAGGGAGCCGCCATCGAGAGGCGCGGGCCAGTCCAGAAGGATCGGAGGACGTCAGCTGACCTCGAAGATCAAAAACGGGCATAGACATAAACTTTTGGCGTTCCGTGTGGATTTCTTGGATCCGCGCGAAGCGCCAGAAGTTATGTTCAGGCAGTTTCGTCTTATTGTTTTTCTTCTTCTTCTTCTTCTTATTCTTCTTCTTCTTCTTCTAGAACGGACCCGTCCAGGAAGATCGGAGGACGTCAATTGGCCACTCTTCATCATCCCCCTTCTCCCTCCTCAGCCTCCTCCTCCCCCCTGCCTCCTCCCTTCTCCTTTCTCCTCTTCCCTCTCCCCTCCCCCCTTCCCTCCTCCCCCCTTCCCTCCTCCCTCCTCCTCCCTTCATCACGTCGTTAGTATCATCCCCGTCCTCCCTCCTTCCCCCTCCCGCGCGGTCCCCTAAGCGATGCTGGCCTGGCCCCTCCTGGGCCCAGGATCGGTGCGATTGTACGCCGGGGGTCCACCTCAACCGTGCTCGTGCAGGCGATCTCTCGTGGGCCGCTTTCATTCCGATGTCATTTTGCAGCAGGGGCGGGCTGAATATACAACAAGGGACAGAGACGGCAAAACGAAGACGCCGAAGATACAGCGAGGGGGCACGAAGACGACACGGAAGCGAAAAACACCTTTTGAGCCGATCCCTGTCGGGGCCGTTT